GCGCCCCAATCCCTTCCCTTGATACTCGGGCAGCAAGTACACATCAGTGAGGTACCCGAAGGTCACGCCATCTGTGATTAGCCTCGCTAGCCCTATCTGTTTCGGGCTGCTCCGGCCTAAGGTCATGAACTGTAAGCCAGGTGCGCGAAGGGTACGTAGGGAGCTAGAGAAGAGTCAACCTACCTGCGATCTGAGAGGTAGACTGAGGAAGCTCGTAGAGCCCGAGACAGAGCGAATTCTGCAGGGTCTTCAGCAGTGCATCGGCCGGGGGTGCTTTTGTCCACCACACGACTTCCGAGTTCATGGCATCGCGGATTGCATCAAGTTGCAGGAGACTGTGCTCCGTCGAGACGAGGAACTCGTCGCGGTACCAACTCTTAGGCTCGGCTTCGAACACCATGATTCAGTCGTATACTATATATATAAACTCTGCGAGAACTAGGTGAAACGTTGATGTATACTGCTCTTTCAACGTAGACCTCACCCAGGTAACTTGACGAATTATATACGTATACTTGATTAGCTAGCATATGGTCTGAGTCATAGTCAATACATTTTTGCTCTATGCCGTAGATAGCCAAGACGGATCCGTAAATGCAACTAAATTACGGCGATAATACGACCCACCGATCTCGGTCTATGGGTCACTATGTTACGAATACGCAAAAAGTCTCGCGTATGCCTGCCTAATCCATATAACTTCTTATTCTGCCTTAAAGATCTATCAAATCTGTCCTCTCACCAGTACCTGTAGCTCATTCACTACATTCAATTCTAGCCTATTCTTCCGGAGTGCCTCGTTCTCGAACTTGCCATGGCTAGGTATACTAGACTCACGGGCTCCCTTGTCTAACTCTTATAAATCTAAGCCGGAGAATTGAGCGGAATACTTTATTGCTGTCTGATTTCTAATATACTTAAAAGCAAAAAGGAGAAGAGGTTACACATTAGCGAAACTAATGATCCCATAGAGGTATAAGGAAAGAGTAGATAGGAGGCTATTGGGATTCTGTATAGCAAAAAGTGAGATTGTTAAGTCACATAGAATATTCTCTACCTCTCTATATAATTTTAAACGGGGCTGTTAACTCTTATATATTCTTAGTAGATTGTGAGATATAGCTGCTTTACTATATAACCTAGGGATAGCCCTGAAGGTATTCAGAGCTTTCGCGTGTCAATAAAGTCTTATTGCACCCCTATAGTTGGTTCCTGACACAGACTATAGTTGAGATATGAACTCTCTCTCCACTCCCGCTCGCGAAATGCTGCATATTAAGACAAGTCATCGATCGCAGACTTAAGTCTCCTTACTGCTAATGCTCATCCGTGCCCTTTTATGAGTACGATCGCTTAGCCTTCGGAATAAAGCTTCACATCACATATCCCTCGTAATTCCTGTGGCTACATAAATCTGCCCGTGAAGGTACAAGACAAAGAGGTCTTTGTATATAGATGTCGCTTGCCTTGAGGCAGAGGTTATCGATCCTCGTGCGTCAAAGAGTATTCAGGAGCTACCTATACATCATCATCCGTAGCTGAAGGCCCGTGACGACACTGGATAGGGAGACAGAGCGGGCGGCATATTTTCTGTTAATTTTCTATATACTTAGTTAAGTCCAAAACTATAATAGCCTTTCATAGGTACCTAAGCAGGTCGGCACTTCAAGCCTCCCCGGCCACCATTCAATTTATCGTAATGTGTTGCTATTTCCTTGTATGATTAAACATCTAGAGTCTTATTGATGGCGTTCCATATAGCACGGTGTGGTGTTTCATAATTCTTTATTCAATGTAATGAACTTTTGGCCTCACTCTTCCATTAGATGCTTAGCTTTATTTTACAACTTAGATCTCCTTAGTAAACCGTTAGTTAATCCTTGGCGCATCCTCCTATTCTAGAAATGCGATGATTTTCACTCCTAGTTATATCTCTAGAAGTCGTTGAAAAGGCCGCGAGGCAAATTGTTCTGATTAGAATGCCTTGTTTGAGTATACAAGGACCTTGTTAGGGATCAAAGAATTCGTTGTGCCTATTGTCTATAAAATACAATCGATATTTATACCTCGACTAGTTCCTTCAAACACAAAAGTTTGTTTTCCTACTTAATTCTTTCTTTACTTTTACTGATATCTACAAACCAAACTAACAAAAACCTAACATGAGTTCTCAATTTCAGCCATGGCAATCTTCGGAGGGTCTTCCCGTAGAGCTCATTGAAATGATTGTTGAAAAACTACCGACTCCAACCGCCCTGTTAAATTTCGCCTGTACTTCTTCGCTTATCAATTCTATCGTTTTTAGGAAGCCCTCGCGACTCTATGTACTTGATGCGCGCTATCACAATCTATCAATCGATGCTTCACGGTACACCGCCTGGCGCCCTGTCACGTTACCGAGCCTTATATACGCCATTCAAAATGATAGCCTTGACAAGATCAAATCACTGGTAGAGATATTCCAGGCAGAAACATGTACATTACTTAATGAGCCGTGGGCCTTGTATAATTTCCCCCTACCGACGGAAGCAGCTATTAGGGCTGGCCGTTTGGATGCCCTCACACTTCTCATCAACTCCGGTTGTTGGTTAGGCGTACGCGACATTTCGGGTCAAATCTATGGCACTTTCATGGAGTATATGTCTTACAGTTGCTCGACTCAGGTTCGAGACCTTATGACTTCCTTTCTCTTGCGTCCTCTTGGTGTTCAGTGTACCGAAAACGATAACAGCGCTTTCGTTCTAGCATGTCTGGAGGGCCAAGAAGACATTGCTTTGTGGCTATTGGACAACATTTACGTATCACAAAGGTATTATCTGTATGTTGCGATTCAGACTGGACTCAAAGGGCTTCTGAAACGGTTTACTTTAGACGACCTATCCCCTCAAGATCCATTAATACCCTCAGCTTTAAAATTGGCCATTTCGACAGATTCCACTTCGACAGATTCCATCGATTGGGCCTCAAATTACGTTACTCGACTCCGAGCACGTAGGGGCAGTATCAACCAAGAATTCTTCGATGATTTGATTGAGATCATGGTTGCAAAGGGCCTATGGGAGATTGCGGCTACGAGTCTCGATCTGATACTCGATGGACGTCTAGTGGCTTTACAAAGAGTTGCTAAGCTCGCAGCCGCAACCGATGACGGATTACCCGTTACATCAAAGTTTATCGCTTCTCTCTGTCGCCATGGTCACTTCGATCGTTGGTCAAATTTAGAAACGCCTTCTACTAGTAATGATAGCAATCTCGATCAGCTTGAGATGCTCCTAGTTGAAGCATCAAGAGAAAGTGCTCCCAAAACGTTTCGATGGATCATGTCTATGCGAGGCAAATACGCAATGATGCAACTCACCAGCATCATCGACAGCAATAAATCGATAGAATTGAGTGCTCTACTTCCATGGAACGCTTTTAAGCTGTTCCAAGGATGTTGCGGTACACCTGGCTGTTTCAGTATGCACCAAAGTTTGGAGAAGGGCAGTGAGCTGCTAAGCCGCGCTCTCAGTAGCGAGAGTTGGGATTGTGCCTTTCTTCTAATACAAGGGGGAGCGAACTTATACAAGATCAATCAAGACGTGAAAAACTTCCTCCGGCGTCGGCTAGCCACTCTCGAGTACCCCAAAGGAAAACCATTCGCGACTCATCTGGCTTCTACCCTCCGTGAGCCAAACTCAGCGAGTACGGCGGTTTCTGAGACTCAGGAACTCGATCTCTTCCTTGAAAAGCTGACAGCCTTATTTAGACTTTTCCTCAGCGACAAAGAGATTCTGGAGTGCTTAGCGGAGATGGGAAATCTTCAATAATTCCGAGAAGATGTCGTTCCATGTACCGGAAGTGCTAATGAGACGGGGGGTGTGACGATCCACAACCCAGGCGACACTTCGTGTGGCATGTGCTAGCCTATAAATTCCATACTGAGGCTTTCCTTCTTTTTTAGAATCCACCCATAATTCATAGTATAAGTTGTTCTTCATTGTTCCCCTTTGCTTCCCTTTCAATGGAGGCTTTGCCTCCCTCCCCGAGACGTGCTAATTTCAATAAGATAGAACTGCCACCCTAGAATAGCTGCGCTAAAGATAGACCGTAATCTAAGATCTTCGGGTACAAATGAGGCTACTAACCCGTCGACTAGAGAAGCGATGTTATGGAACCTGGAGATAGAATTATTACCCTAGTTGAGTTTAAGCCCCCGATCACAAGCCTGGGCTAAATGGTTTTGCAGCTATTCACCTTTAATATTATCTTTCAAATCGTTATTCAACTGCTATCTATAGGCCATCAAACATAGAGATAAGTTGCCATGTTCCTACCCTCATGAGCATATAATAATGAAATGAGTTTTAGCAACGTAGTATCAATGGCTATGATGAAGAGACGGCAGTTTCTAACATGATAGATAGAGGGCAAGTATTCGCCTTTGAAATAGACTTGGGCCGACGAAGGTATTTATGGGAATATCCCCCGATAGCAATACGACGTCCCAGATAGAACCCATAGGGTCATCTAGCCCTTGCACATCGGGGTATTATCCCATACGAAAGGTCTAATACGTGCTTATCAAGATTCTAGGGTCAGTGTAACGATCACATAACTCATGCACGTTCATCCTGATGCGCTTGGCAATTTGCCGAGGCGGCCCTCGTTCTATTCCACGACCGTTTGTCTCATAGTAGTAGGTAGAGAGTCAGGGAGAGACGGAAATTCCTACATAGGATGCACTTAGTTCCGTCCGGTCTTGATAGCAACTATTTGGGTATGCATGGATACTAGGGAGTCGAGGTAATTGTTGCATCAGTGGCAAGGGAACGTATCTTTATAGTTGAACGCAAGAATACGAAATTGCCCGTTTATGCACGGTATGACTCTACTTACCTAGTTCTTTTCATACCATTTTTTCTTTCTCTTTTTGGTGTTTGCGCGAGTGGCCTTCCGGTCTAGCTGTGATAATGTCTAATTTGCTACGGATTCTTTCATCGAATCACAACAAAGAAAATTCTCGATTGGTCTAGTGGTAAGGATACCTGCTTGTCATTGACATTCTGTTTAGTACTTCACGATGGTGGGTACTAACTGATGAGTTACAAGCCGCAGGTGGCCGGGGTTCGATTCCCCGATCGAGAGCTATGTTATTTTATTTGTAACTTCTTTGCATTCTTCTTTTCTTATTACTTAATTAACAGTTCCACATCAGTTGTGGGGTTGATAGTGTGTATTCAAACTTATACCAGCATAGTAGCTAGCACACTATATCCTTCTAGGCATACTTGAATTGTTAGAATTCAATTCCGGGAGGCTGGTACAAACAAATGAGTCTTGAATCCACCAATGCCTTGAAAGTCACTATGGGTTAATTATCAAGAGGTATTGTATAGAGACGGTTAAAGCTCCTACCTTGATTAAACCCCGATGTACTATATATATTAATGATACCGCGCTCCGAGATGACGTATCTGTACGTCTCTCTCATGCGTATTCTTGCTTCTTCCAGCTCTAATACCCCGCCCGATAAGCTCGTGGTCGCTTTCTCATCTCAGCTCTCGTTTCTACGTGACGAAGTGTCTGTTAGCCCACTGAACTGCGTAGGGTAGCCTTGAAAAGATCAAATCTCATCCTTACATTTTCAATCATAATATGTCCACTCAGCACCTGTTGACTGAGTACCTGCTGGCCGGACGCCTGTTGGCTGGGTATTCATTGGCTGTAAACCCATTGGCCAGACACCTATTGGCTGGGTATTCATTGGCTGTAGACCCATTGGCTGTAAACCCATTGACCGGGTAGCTGTTGACTGAACAATTCTTGGATCGGGGATACTTGTTGGATGGATACCGGTTGCACAAGGATTCGTTGGATGAGTACTTGGACGTCGCGCTGGCTTATTAGGTATTAGTCGTTGTGTTGGCTGAGTACTTATTGGATAAGTAAACTGAGTACTTGGTTGTTGCGTTGGCTGAGCACTTGTTGAATGAGTAAACTGAGTACTTGGACGTCGCGTTGGCTTATTAGGTATTAGTTGTTGCGTTGGCTGAGTGCTTATTGGGTGAGTAAACCGAGTACTTGGTTGATTTGTTGGTTGAGTACTTATCGGATGAGTAAACTGAGTACTTGGTTGTTGCGTTGGCTTATCAGGGATTGGTCGTTTCGTTGGTTGAGTACCTACTGATCTTGGCCATCCTACTGGTCTTGGCCATCCCGCTGGCAGAGTCATTGGTTTTTTTGTTGGCTGCTTACTTGGTCGTTTCGTTGGCTGTCGTTTTGTTGGCTGAGTACTTGGTCGTTTCGTTGGCTGAGTACTTATTGGATGAGTAAACTGAGTACTTGGTTGCTGCGTTGGCTGAGTACTTATTGGGTGAGTAAACTGAGTGCTTGGTTGTTGCGTTGGCTGAGTACTTATTGGATGAGTAAACTGAGTACTTGGTTGTTGCGTTGGCTGAATACCTATTGGATGAATCAACTCAGTTCTTGGCCGTCCCCCAGTACTTGGTCGTTTCGTTGGCTCATCACGTATTAGTCGTTGCGCTGGCCCATTAAATATTGGTCGAGCACGCGGAATACTCGTCGGTTCAGTCCTCAGGAAAATAGCATGTAGGCTCAATTTTCCGGAAACTTGGTCTATCTGTTCACCCATATTTCTGATTCGACCGCTGAACTTACGTACTCCGTCACTGACGATAGTCACATTTTCTGGTGCGTCTTGAGCAAAGGGGTCATCTTCGAGTCGATCTACAATTTTCAAGTAGAACTCTGCATCAGCCACTATGCTCTGCATCGCCTCATGGAGCTGTAGTCGGGATCCTACTGCACCCCGCTCCTCTAAAGTCCGTTCCAATACCCGCACCATAGCCAAGATCCCATTTAGTATTATTCGGTTTACTAAAAAAAACAGTTGCCTGCGGTCTTCGTTGTAATCTGGGCTGTCCATTGGTATCTGATGTTTTTTGTATCCGGAGATATGAGTAGTTTAGTGATGTTACAGTAAGAAGGATTTAAATAAGAGCCTTTGCTGAAGAATAACAGTAGAAGGAATTGGGGATGTGTGATGAAAGGGCCGAGTATATATTCTCGTCTTCGTTATGGGTGCTATGCGTTGGCGAGATGCTGGCGATATTAGAATCCTGTGCTCGAAAAACATGTACGGTGGTCCAGATTACTCTCAAACTCTATCATGTAGGCATAAAATGTAAAGGGCAAGCCATCTAGGTAGTCGCCCAGAAATGTGAATTGGAGTAGCTACCTAGATAATATTATGGCATACGGAAGGAACTGTTGAAAGAGTAAAAAAGGTTGTACACGGTACCTAACCTAGGTAGGTCTTCAATACAGTTGGCGGACTGATATATTGGTTCATAATCAATAAGTTTAGGGCAATCATTTAGTGTTCCGGTAATCTTCGAGTACGTACTGACTCCGTCCACTAATAGCCCGGGTTACTCTAATTGAATGATTGAGTTACGATCCTTCGAGATGGCTAGTACTTTAGTACAACACGCTGATCACTAATACCTCTCGGTTGGTAGTAAGTAGCATAAAAAGTATTCCTATGGTAGGTAGACTTACTCTCATTATAGGTATCCGTGGAATGTCACTTCCTGTCTTCTTTCGTATTGGAAATGTATAGATTGCTTTGGGAAAAGGGGGTCTAGGGTCAAGGGAGAATATTTCGTGAAAGAATGAATGACTAGATGAATTATTCGTTCGATCTTACCATGATAGCGAGGAAATAATAAACAGAGAGAGATGGGAAGAAAATAGAGAGAGAGGAATGAACTTGACGTATGCCACGGTTTGCTGTGTGTACTACATCATATCCAAGCCTGGTGCTACCCGTAGTGTTATGCCGGGTCAGCCAGTTCCCTTAAGAAACCCATCATCCCTCATCGAAATTCAAACCGAAAGCATGCATTAGCAAGCCCACTCGTAGAGTTCTGCCTTGTAAAGGGGCTGACCGAAGAACCAAGGAAATTTAGGCGGATAACTGATCTCCAAAGTCAAGGTAAATGACGGGATTGAAATGTGAGTAAGCTAGAGGAAAACGGAATAACTAAGCCAGTCTGTGATTTTCGAAGTGAAAAATGCCGCGCTCGCTGTATTAGGAAATATCGAATACTACTGTAACCTGATTCCTCGCGTAGTGATATGAGAAACGAATATGCGCGAAATAGATGAAGATATAAGTAGACGGTAAGGGGCAAGGGGTTCAATCAATGTATAGAGCGATTAGAAGCATCTGTGGAGGGGGGGGGGGGTAACGTTGAATATAATGGCGAGAGCAGTGTGCCTTCTGAGTGTCATAGAATGTGAGCGCTAAAGGGTGGTTCTGGTAATAGCTGTCTTTTAGATGTAATAATATGCTTCTAGCTCCAATATGTCAGGCCTTTACTGCCCGATTCTTCGCCTTCGCCCATGAGCGAGTCTAGGGGTATCATAGTCCGTGTTTTCCATACCATACGCCGGATCGTTCCGCCTACCAGCCTTCGTATATGCCACTTAACGCCTAAAAATATTTTACAAAATTGCGGTCCTCTATGCTTAACCCTCCAAATAATTCCTGTCCCCATCCACTCCTAATCCAGTAATACTGCCCATGCCTCAGTGTCTGGGCCGTATTGATCGTCCTTCTCGAGTGTCGTGTCAATGACCTGGTCTTCGATCGTCAGGCTACCCAGGCCCTCGAGAACACGCTCGGCCTTATCTTTCGCGTCACGGATGGCGTTTGTTTCCGCTCGTGTCCGGTCTAACTGTGACTGCATCATCGAGATGAGGGACTCGCGCGCCTGGTGCGGGCGGTACTCGTTGATGAGATGGTGGAAGTTGATGAAGAGATCTTGGATGTCTTTGATCTTGTCCTGGGCCTGTTCCTGCATGTCAGAGGGGAATATCGAACGAGGAACTGGAAGCTGAAATTTGGGAAATTCCTTTTGCGACATACTGATTCAGGACTAATGGCTAGCAAGCCAGTGAGCTCGAGAAAATTCAGCAACAGCGACTTTGCCAATCGCTTGAGGATGGTGGCGCGGTCGAAGTGCTTGCCATCTTGGTCTCTTTCCTCGGAATTGGGGAATAGTTTCTGGATCTGTCCGTCGTCGAGGTGCGGGGGTTCGAGTTGTAACCTATGTGCTTCGCCGAAGACGCGCCATGTGCCATCCTCCGGTTCGGGTGGAGGCTGTAGGTTGCGCAGCTCGCGAGGTAAGTTGTCGAGACGGACCTTCGAAGCGTCCTGTACCCCTAAGCTCTCGGCCTTTTCTTTCCGTAGCTCCTCGACGCGAGTGATGTTGTCTGGTGTGAAGTCTTTCCAAAAGGGCGGCGGCGGTGGCCAGGTCGAGGCTGTCTGTTGCTGTTCCTCCTCCATAGTGATGTACAAGTAGACAAGTTAGCCTGTCTTAAGTGGAATCCTGAGTGCAAGCTTGATTAATAAAATTATCGCAAAAAAGTGTAGTCATCTGTCATTCTTCTTTTGCCATGATCAAGGTCGGGAGGGCTGAAGATGTAAGGGTCCGACGATGGCGTCGCAAAGGTGGAGGATCTGTCCGAAGAGGCTCCGTAACTTACCTATGTACAGCATAGGTGAGGTACCTTAGGTAGGTAGTGTAGGTACCAGGTAAGGTACAGTGTATAAGCGCCGGGACTCTGTCTACCTATGTGGGGGCAGCTCCAGCCGGAAGCGCGGGGCACTTCTCCAAATCCCCAGGTCAACTAATTGTGGCTGATGGAAGACCTCACTCAGCTTTTATCCAGCACTGTACATCATCCACAGCCTCATCGTCATCACTCCTTACAACTGAACTCCTAAAAGGGACCAAATCTCAGCTTAACCTATCCCCACTACCTATCAACCACCCGTTTCATCATTGGCCTCTAAACTCGAAAATCCCGTCCCCTATCGACAATCATATCACATAGTTCAATATTTCCTTTCACAATGGCTGACGCCCGTGCCCTATTACGCGCCCATCGTGCCGAGAATCGCATTAAACATCCCCATGCTGCTTACTCGGACGTCGGCAAGCTCCTCTGCAAGCTCTGCCACGATGCCGTAAAGACCGAGTCTTTGTGGGATGCGCACATCCGTAGCCAAGCGCACAGACAAAGGCTACAGGCACTACAACAGCAGCCGAGCCCTC